TTCCTGTAAAATGCTACTCGGCAGAAGTTGTTACATTATGGTACCGTCCACCCGATGTTCTATTTGGAGCAAAACTTTACACAACGTCCATCGATATGTGGAGCGCAGGCTGCATATTCGCAGAATTAGCTAACGCTGGGAGACCATTGTTCCCTGGCTCGGATGTAACCGATCAGCTGAAGAGAATATTTAAAATGTTAGGCACACCCACCGAAGAAACATGGCCCGACATAACTACTCTTCCAGATTACCGACCCCTTCCACATTATCATCCGACTCAAGGTCTAGCCCAAGTTACACCAAAACTGACTGCTAGGGGGAAGGACTTACTTCAGGTAACTAAATTTTTGTTAAATTATACATCTCTGATTCGAGAGTCTCAAAGCACGAGGCACAATACTTTGACAACAATAGAGTAATTATTTGAAATCACTTCTTGCAAAAATATCGATAGAATTTTTCTAGATACAATATCAATAAAGTTAACAAATTAATTAACATGATAAAATATTAATATGATAACAATTTATTGAAAAAAAGATTTTCTTATTAAATAATACAAACATAAATTATATGTAATTTTCTAGAGATTATTAGTATGTAATCCAGCACTCCGAATATCTGCGGATGATGCAATGGCTCACCCTTACTTTTATGACCTGAATCCTGCCATCAGAAATGACAGATGCCAATAACACTTTCCAATTGTAGATAAGCGCAGCTGATAGTTAAGCAGCGCAAGACCAAAATACGCGTGGTAAAAACAATTTATTATACAACAATGGTTGCTTGCGAAAATTACAATGACAAAGGCGTTTATATACAAAATGTTAAAAAGCAGAATAATAAATCGTCAATTCTATCGTTATAAGTAAGGAACGATACATCGAAACTTAAGCGCAGTAGTAAATGAAGTCACAATAATAATAATCTTACTTATAGATGATATCGATATTAAAGATTTTAACTGAACTTTGGAAAATATATGTCATTTAAAAAAAAATTACAAAATTATTAACATATCGAAGCCTGTTAAAATTTTGTATAATGTGTAAATACATAAAAGCTATATAAATTATATCGTATCAATGATATTCTCACTGTAATTTTAATAATATTTATTATGAAAAATGTAGAAAATTAAAATTTGAAAAAGCATTCGATTTTTCAGTTTCATTACGTAATAAATATTATGCACGTTATGCAAAATTACCATAGGTAAAAAGATTTCAAATTCAAAGTAATTCCAACGTATATAAAATATTCAGGCTCCTTTTCTTAACTCATATCGTTAAAAAAGTATCAACGACCTAGGATATCTTATTTTAAATTATTTTCATTTCATTCATTTTACATTGCATCAAAGTGGAATCTATGCGCCTCTTGTAATTTCTCAATTTTATCCTCTCGCCTTTCCTTCCAGTACAGTGCGGCGATAATTGCGGTTATCAATCCGCAGGTTCCTGTCAGTGCGGCAGCGCTCAACAGGATCAACTTACTTGGCGTGACGAAAAGTTGCGCCTTCCATCTTGAAGGATCCGTGGGAGGATTTGGTATCACTACCATCTGAGAGTTAGGAATAATTTGTGGCCACTCTCGAGATCTATTGGACAGCTGAAAGTTTAAACGGGAAGATAAATAAGAGCAATTTATCATTGATCTTACTGGCTAGAATATTTAATTGAAAGCAAAACAAAAGACAATATGAATACAAGCCTACGTATTTATATGAATTCATTCGTTTTACTATTAAGCAAAAGACATTCATGAAATTAAATTCCTATTCGTGACTTGATTTTTACTAATATAGCACGGAATTTTTACAATTGTGATACATTATACAGATTATTATTAAACAAAATTGTAATTACGTTAATTAACAACAAACGAAGAAAGAAAAAAAAGATACCTCATTAAAGGAATGAGAATTTTTAGGCTCGACTTCTTTTTTATATATATATATAATAATATAAATAAATTGTTATAGTATTTCTTGTTAATAAATTTTAAGGGAACTTAGAATGATAGCGATCGTGTAATTTATTAAGATGTTTAATTCCATTAATTGCGACATAATTAGATGTAAAAATTAATTTTAATGTCATTGCTCATTATTTGTATTATTAATGTGCTTGATTATTCTTAATATTTGTTTAAGATTGAATTCAGTAAAATTTTCTAACCAGGATCGTAAGAGTGTACATAGTCAGTGATTTAAGCTGCTAGCCAAAGACAATACTTTAAAAGGAGAACAAATTAATTTGTTCATAAGCCTTGCAGCTAGGTTGCAAAACATATAATGCCAAAAACATTTTGTAAAACTAAGACATTTCTACAATTTTACATGTTTGATAAATTGAAAAGTGAAAAAATAATTAGATGTGATAAAGGGTATTTTTAATTATTTTCATTAAAGACGATTTCTATTTCTCTCTCGATATTCAAGTGATTTTAATATTAATTTCATAATTTATAATGCAGTTAAATCTCGATTTCATTATGTTTGAAAAATTTAATGTAAAGTGTTTCATATATTGTGTAAAAACAAAATTCTTAAGCTGAAATCACGTAAGTTGAAAAATATATCACCAGATAATTTATGTAATTTAAACATTTTACTAAGAAAGTTTTCTTGTAATTTTTATTACACCTCATCTATGTTTAAGATAATACATTATAGTTTTATTAATGGCAGTATTCCTAAATATGTAATAATTGTATATTGAGCAATTTTTAATTATAAACATGAAAATTATATTAAATTTTATGCTCCCATTGTAATGTTATTTTTATAATTTCATCGATCTTGAAATTCTTTTAAATATTAATACCGAATAATATTTAAATAATTAATAATAAATTAATTAATTATTATATTTGATGCAATAAATATGAAGAAAATTGAATAAACTTCAAGATCAAATGATCTGCTTGATTCGTCGTTAAAAAATAATATAAATTGCAATAACGCTAAGCTTATATTTAATAAAAAAAAAAAAAAAAAAAAAAAAAAAAAAAAAAAAAAAAAATTAGGAATCTTTATAAGCGTAAATTATGATTTAAATCAAATAATAAAGAGTTAGCAAGATTAGTGAAAGAAAACTCACCCCTATCGTTAAGGAATCGATAAAATTTGGCGTTCTGCCTAAACCAAACGTAGTAAATGGCAAATTTAAACTAAAATGGGCGCTTTGAGGTAGTTGTGCAGCTATTGCACTTCGAGGGCTGCCATCCTGCGTCGTAGTTTTATAAGCAATAGAAGGTCCGGGTAAATTTGTTCCGTATGTTCTTTTTTTTCTTCCGAGACTACCCGGAGATATTGGATACATACTATTTGTTCTTCCAGTAAGAACCATTACTTTAACGAAATTTGCATCATAATCAAGACTATTCTTAAACGCTGCCGTCTTATAAATCTTACTGTCCTTAAGATCTTTAAGTACTAATATCACATCCAAAATACCTATAAAATTATTAAATACATTATACGTAGTATAAAATTTTAATTTACTAATAAAATCTTATTGAGATTTATATTCTTTATATTTAATAGTTAAAGCAACTTTACTTATATTAATTCAGCATTATATATTTATTGCGTAAAATTTTTAATTTAAATACTATACTAATACAATAATAATATATTATATGAACAACTTAAATAGTAGTTTTCTATTGCACGTCTTATGAGCTTTTATGGTACTGATAATTAGTGCTTCGCGAATAGATATTTTGCATTAATTTAAAAAATATGTCTAATTTTGTATACGATGAATTTTATATCAATCTAAGATTACTTCGATATGAAAAGAAAGCTTAATTGATCAAAGAATTGCTAATCCCATATGAATATTGATCTTATCGTTAAACGAAATCAATCGTACAATTGGCTAAATTAATACAATTGAAAAAGCTTAAAATCACATTATTTAAAAATAAATAAATATAATAGCATACCATCCTGGTAAAAATCATAAAACACTGCCATTACACTTTGATTAAAGAATGGATTCAAAGCGTTCCAACGAACTTGGAATGTTCGATTAAATACTCCGCAATTATAATCACAAGGAACATTTTCGAGGAGAAATGAACGCGTCTGCTGCGTCTTGGATGATCTTAGTGTAGCAAGTAAATCTGGATATCCGTCCATATTGAAGTCCCCGCCTCTCATTGTTATTGTATCCGTGTATCTCTGTCCACCATCCAAAGCAAATCCCCACGTGACGTGTGAATTATCTTTAAAATTGACTTGTACATCATGCCATCCATTTGAATAAATCATAATTAAACTAGTTTTACAGTTTGTATCTACGCAAATTGGTAAAACAAGATCCATTTTGCCCAACAATTCTACATCTAGATGAAGCGACTGGCCAATTATTCCTTTAAATGTATGAGTTGGAATTTTATTATTAAATTCAAAGCCATTCTCTTTGCCATACCATATTTCAAAATATTTCTCAGTTGTTATCACCAGATCAGGGTAGAAATCATTATTTAGATCCAAAAAAGCATTAGCGTGAGGCTCCCTTATCGATTCTAGAGTATCTGAATAACAAATAATTTAGTATGTGATGTAGTGCTAGTTATCAATATATTCATAAATTGTCAAAATTAATTTAACTAAATTAATAAATTGTTTAATGCATTCGTTAATATTAAAAAACTTAAATTTTATTTAATAACACTATTAAATTATATTAAAATTATACTTCTACTAAAATATAGTATTATATGCATTTGAATATTGAAAAATTATGCAATTATAAAATAAACTCTATATTGGCAAAGTGATTAAGATGAACAATAAAGAGTTGTTATTTCGTTAATAAATTGAAAAATTTTATTAAACTTTAAAAATAAAATTTTAATAATTTTTAAATAGACACATATGTATACCCAAATTTCTTGACTCCTTCATGTAATGTATAGTTGGTGTTGTTCTATTGGAATTAAAAACCCAAAATGTTCTAGTACCATTTACATCGGCTCCAAAAAGATCAATAATCATATCTTGGTTATAATCCATTGCCAAAGGCTGACCTCTCATTTGTAACAGCGGTTTACTTTCATCCGTACAATTCAATTGTCGATTACCACCCCAAAGAACATAAACATTTGTAATTCCTTCGCTACTATCCATTGTGGTAATCAGTATATCCATAAAAACATCACCATCAAAATCTCCAGGTACGACACTGGTAACTATTTGTTTAAAAGCGCAACTAAATTCTGTCTTTGGTTGTAATAATGGCTCTTCGACAGAAGCCAATAAAATCTGAACTGTTTTGCCATCTTTGCTAAGCACGAAAACATCGGTAAGCTCATCCGAATTGAAATCTCCAAAAGCAGCTGGCATTCCATCTAATTCTTTACCAAATACCGCAGTTGTAATATCGCTGCATAAACCCAATGCCACAAGGGCATCGAGTAAACCAAAAAAAATTAGCAGCTTCATAACAACACTTTCATATTACCTGATAAAAATAAATAATCAATTAAGAGTAAAAAATTTCATTATAAACAGTCGCGATAACTACGACCAAAGCTGATAACTAATGAACTATAAATTTGGTAAAATAACTTAACTATAAATCATTAAAGATTTACTTTAAACTACCGAGTATATTATTTGAAATTATTAATCGCAAGCATAAAATATAATGAAAAATGAATTAATCGACTAATTAAATTAAAGGAATGTTTAAAAACTCAAATGTTATCTTTATTATTAACATTTAAATAACAACGACTCACCTAATAGATTAATGTCATATTAGCTTTCTTCACCTAAATGTTGATGATTTATTTTATTTAAAAAGTTACATTGAAATAAATGAATTCGTATATGCAAATAATTGATAATAACTTTTACACTTAACAATCACGAACATTTGATCTACAATTACAGATTTTACGGCAAATGAAGTAAAGCTATGAAATTAAAATCCATAAGACCATGCGATAATAATATATATTAAGTGTATTTTGGCATACTTCAAAGTGGCAAATGACGCCTGATAAATCTTAATTCTCAACCTCAACTCTCAAATATCAATCCTCAACTACACAATAATCAGCCTTAATGACGCAGTCGCAGAAAAATACGACAAATAAACAGTAGATGGCACTGCGGACGCACATGACAGATACTCTCAGCTGATTTTCGTTCGATGATTTAATAGTCAACGTCATTAATAGCGAAGAGTACACCGGAGTGAAAAGCGTATATTATCAAAAAACAAACAGAAAAAAGAAACAAAAAAAAAAAATATAGAGAAAGAGAATTAATTGGTTCAAAATATATAGACAACGCAATCTACTAAGAGATCCCATTTGAAAAATAAAATAAAACATAATATATTTTTAATAATTGCAAAGGACGGCCTCCGTTATTAATTTATTTGTATTCAGAAACACACGAAACATGAGTATTATGCCGTACTGTCCTGCTCCTCACAGTTGATAGGAAAATGAATGAAGTCCTGAATAATGTTCATGATATAACACTTATCATTAGTTAATAAATATTATAGAAAAACAAATTTTTATTTTGAGAATTTTATTCGGTGAGCTTAAGTTTGAATTAAAGTTTTTTGATTATTTTTATAATTAATATTTAATATATTTAATACTATTTAATAAACGTAATTTATTTATATATGTTTTTAGTGATGCCAGAGCACGTTGAGTTACAACAATTAGTCGACGGTGACACTGAATGTCAGACACTTCCTCGTCAGAGTGACTTTTCTAAATCAAAATGTAAATCATGTCCATATCTTGGTCTTGTTCTGGCCACATTATCGTCTCTATTTTTTTCACTTTGTAGCGTAATTGTTAAAGGTTTAGTTGATGTAAGTTATTTATATGGTTTAAATATTTAAATATTGATTTTTATTTAAGCAACTTAATATTTAGTTACATATATTTATATACGTATATAAAAAATGTTAACAACGATTGCAATTAAATAAAATTAAATTAAAATAGAATGATATATTTGGCGATTAATTGGTTCTATACCTAAAATGTCTTGTATCTATTAAATACAAAATTGCATTTGTTCACTATGTCTTTTAAAAGTATGCAAACAAGTTTATTAATCGATTATATTTACATATATATAATTATACATTATAAATAGCAATTGTATTTGTGTTATTAAATTTTATTATTGATTTAGCCTAAATAAACTATATAAATTATATAATAACAAATTTTTAATAGATAAATCCTATGGAACTGGCTGCCTTTCGGTTCGTCGGTGTTCTCCTGCCAGCAATTCCAATAGTTATATACAAAGGCCATCATCCATTTCCAAAAGGTCGTCGGCTTATGTTACTTCTGAGAAGTTTTGTTGGAACAACTGGACTTATGCTAAGTTTTTATGCATTCAGACACATGCCCTTGGCTGATGCATCTGTTATAGTTTTCTCGGTGCCTGTATTTGTGGCAATATTTGCAAGAATATTTCTTAAAGAGCCCTGTGGTCTGTTTAATGTTATAACTGTTTGTTTGACATTGATCGGTGTTGTCTTAATTACTCGTCCACCACTTATATTTGGACATACCGTAGTATCCATGATAGATAACCATGTAAAAACTGAACATGCCGATCTTTGGGGTGCGGTGGCAGCCTTTTCTGCAACATTGTTTGGAGCAAATGCCTACGTCTTGCTTAGAGCTCTTAAGGGATTGCATTTTTCTGTTATTATGACAAATTTTGGATCATTTGCTCTTGTACAAACGATAATGGTCACCTGGACAATTGGAGCCTTATGCTTACCACGTTGTGGCACTGATAGGTATGTGAATTATGTTACTTAAAACTTGATTTATCTATTTGAAAGTTATTTTATTTAATATTTAAATTTTCTGTAAAGAATGTATGCCTTATTATATATTTCACAATGAAAACTAATAATTAAACAAGATAGATAAATATTTTATAAGACTTTAAAAATATAATAATAATAATAATAATAATAATAATATTAACGATAGTCAAGTTTAAAATAAGAATGAAATTTTTCTATCGTTAGGTTATTGGTAGTTGCTCTGGCTCTATTTAGCTTTGGAGGACAAATTTTATTGACATTGGCACTGCAGATGGAACAGGCTGGACCCGTCGCCATTGCTAGATCAGCAGATATTGTCTTCGCGTTTTTCTGGCAAGTACTTTTTTTCAATGAAATACCAAACAGATATTCGGTAGGCGGTGCCGTTCTAGTGACAAGCTCAGTTTTACTTACTGGATTAAGGAAGTGGGCAATTTCATTACCCGAAACATCAACTGTCAAGAAATCCTTGGGCTTCTTAGCAATGATATAGTGATGTTATAATTATACAGTCAAAGATAACTTAAAAATTTTTTATCTGGTTAATGCATATTTCTATATAAATAATGCGTATATAAAATGAAAATTTTGTACAATAATTAACACTTATTATAAATATGCTGTATTATCTATTTCTATTAGTCATAGCTAAAATTCAATGATGGTAGTTGCTTTCATTATTTTTGAAACTCAAAAAATTATTCGGCATGATCATATTATCAATGCTAATTAATCAAATAATAATATTAATTATGAAGAGACTTAAATGGCCAAAATAATATTTCTACTTTTTCCATAATTAATATGTTGTCTGACATATAAATTAACAGTATCTCAAAAAATTTTAAATAATACAGCAAAAATGTTTATATCGGGTTTATTATCTTTTAAACGCACACAAATGTTATGTTAATTACTTGATCACTTAATTACTTTAATCATTAATTACGATTGCTTTGTTAGTTATTATAATTTAATTATAGAAAAAAGTTCCTTGTAAATTTATTGGTCTAGATTGCATATATACTGCAACAAATGAAAATTTCCAAAATCTTTCTTTATAAATCTATTTTATAATTTTATTTTACATTTCTTCCCAGTTTAATTGAATGTAAAAATTTATCATTACACTTTAACGGCTTACGTAATACAACATTTATTGAAATATTTATCAATAATAATTAAATAGTACATGATATTGTTGCAATATATATTTGTCCTATGTATTATATTAAAAATGTATCTGATAACATTATTTATTGTATATTATACTTTTATTAATTAAGATATAAATTAAAGATGTCCATCTCAGACCACTTTAATGTAAATTTAGCTAAATAGATAAACATTGTAATCATTAGTATATATTATACATAACTAAACATAAAAAAATTATTATGATTAAATATTTTCAGACTGATCGTAGTTAAATGAAGGGCGTAAAAATATAATGTAAAGAAAATACTTTTACAAAATCAATTCATATACTACACGAAAGCAATATTTTTAAGCTTGCTAAGTCATTATGATGATAATATTGTTAAGCTCCATTGACGATACTTACCCTTATCCTAGTAAAATAAAAAATTTCAATTTTATTGATAGATTTAATTATTGTGATTGTTACCAAAGAATGTAGCTCGCATTTAACAAAATGACGATAAGAAACTACTTGATTACATTCAAAAAGTAGAATGTAAAGTGACAAAACGATCGTTGATAAATTTTTTTATAACATTATAATTAAATCTAACTATAAATTATTTCGTGATTAATGTAATTTATTATTGTTTTAGACAAAATTATTGTCGGATATAAATATTATAGAAAACAAGTGAAAGTTATACTATATAAAATTTTTAAATAAAAAACTCCGTTAGTTTCATGTATTTCTGTAAAATTAAACGATGATCATCCTTTACTTACTGTTATATAAGAAAATTTAAATATTTTATTTAAAAAATAATAAAATATGTAAAATAATAGTTTTATCAAACACATTCTGCTTAATTTATTTGTAAATTAATGTATTTTTTCATTATAATATTGATTTTTCACGTTATTTTTACATTCTGTTTATTAAAAACAATGAATATTTAAAATTTCACTTATATTCTGTTTGATTAAAAAAAAAAATGTTATTATTTAATTGAAACACTTAATAAGATTTTCTTAAATATTAGAAATAATGAAAAATATACTAAGCAAGGTTTCATGTATTAAAACTGTGCAGTCGTAAATATTATAAATACATTGTGATGAAAACTTTATTATGATTATTGTTTGATTATTATTAATATTATAAACTCTTTTTACATACCCTAACAAGCCTTAAATATATTTCATTTTAAATAATTGTTTTCTGTTTTTCTGTTTAAAAGCTGAGTCAATTTTCAGATTGTGCCCAATGTAATTATAATGTTCGGTTCCTTTGAATTGGATAGATCATCTGTAGACCTAAACGTATTCAAACATTAACAGAAAGTGTGTTCAATTGAATATAGAAATTTTTATGTTTCTTTTACATAATTAGTACATAACTGTAATTTAGACGGCACTCCATTGTTCATAAAATTTTTCGTCAATGTTAAACATCTATTGTAGTTAATAATGCCTAGTTAATTAAAGGCGTGATATAGATAAATAAATAATCTTAATTAATACATCCTATAACTGAAGATTTATTTTTTTAAAAAGACTTTGTTAGAGATAATTTCAATTGAAATATATTGTTTTTCACAAATGTGATTAAAAGAGAAAATTTACATATGTATGTAATAATAAAATCTCACGCCTATATTAAAAAAACTTTAAATCAATAAATTAAGAAAAAAAATTTATTTTGCATTCGAATAAACAGAAAAATGATCATTTTGTATAGATAAAAGTAATTTATATATTTATATCATACATGTTCAAAATAATAATTTAAAAAAAGGCATTATATTAAGTATCTCTGAAACTTATAAATATAATTATGAGTCATCGTAATACGTGTAATCATAAGATGTTTTGGAAAATGTGTACATAAATTTCATTATTATAATTCAGTTACAGGATAACGAAAAAATTACATTAAATTTCGATTTTAATTACAAAAAATAATCAATATTACTGAAAATTTTATCATACAAAGTTTTTTTAAACTTAATTTATTATCATTCTTACTATTAAGCAATACATATGATCTACATAAATAATAAAATAATTTTAAAAACCACAATAAAACAATTTTTAATAACACAGTAAATATAAACTAAGTATTATTGTAATGTCAAAAAATGTCATTCCACAAATTCAATTAAATTATCAATAATATTCTAATTTTATATTATAGAAAATGATTATAAACTGTATTTTCAATATTTTAAATTTTATAATATTAAAATCAACTATATTCATATAGATAATAGATAAAAATTCTTTGATTTTCACTTAAACCAAGATTTAAAAATCATTAGTTTTTATTCACATAAAGTTTTATATTTATTGAATTATATTATAAAAAAGAGTCATTTTGCACTATTGTAACAAATAAAATTAATATATTGTATATGTTATGGAGATCATTATTTAGTTCGTGAACATAGTTGACATGATAATAAAAGCTGTTATCATAAAAGGAAAGGACTTCCTTTCTAATTATTAGTTGATCGTTGAGTATATTAGTATCATTAATTATATAAAAATATAATTGAACATTTTTAAATAAAATTTATCTTTTAATTTCATTTAAAATAACAATTGATAAAATGAATAAGACACAAAATTTTTGTTGCGACTAATTAAATTTGCTTTTCACATTTGGAACTTTTGATATTTATTTTCTAATCATAAGCTGGAAAGCTCTATAAGAAAGTAAAAAACTAATCAAGTATAAATTTTTTATGTTTAATTAGACTCAATTAAGCTAACTTAAATTAAATTAATCTATATTAAACTTTAATTATTTAATTCGAGAAATTCTACATATTTGTATATTCAAGAAAATTATAAATAGTATAATATAATTTCATCGAATTAAATGTTAATAATGATTATGATCATAAAAACAATAATAATAATAGTATAATAATAATAATAATAATAATAATAATAAGAAGAAGAAGATGAAGAAGAATAAAAATAGCAATACCAATAGTAATAATAAAGTAATCATAAGAGAGTATATTTTACATTTTAATTGATAATTTGTTTTCTTGTCATTTTATTGTCTAGTTAATTATGTTGAAATTTTCGTCGATGACCATATATTGTTAGGTGCTGCAATTGTTTCAATAGACGAATAACATTTCATGATATTTTATTAAAGTGCAAAGTATTTTTTATTTCACTAGTAAATTCCTTTCGCGATTAGTTTATCGTTGCTTGCTTTTTAAGAAATTCAACTTTTTAATTCTTTTAAAGCGAAATTAGAAAGTGTTTGATTTCTTATTTCAAGGAAATTTATATATATTATTATGTTTTGTTTTGAAACCCATCATAAAAATCTTGATGAAAAGGTAGTAGGAGAGTGTTTCTGAATACATTAATTGGTATTATAGTTTTATAAAATTTATAAAATAATAAATTGCTCGTTCAAATAAAAAAAGTTGTATTTGTATTGTTTATTTTCTTTTCATTAATCAACGCTAATAGCAGATTAAAAAACAGAGTCGCTATTAGAAAGCAAATGTAATAAATGACAATAATGCGAATGAGCAGTCAATAATTGCAGTCGGTGCACTCGAGTCGTTCAATTTCATATCGCCCCAAGCGCACTTTAAATAAGTTAAACACCAAGTGCCACGCAACATTGCCCTCCTCACCGAAGCGCAACCATCCCAGTCAACTAACGCGTCAAGTTTTACACCTATTCAGCAGAGCTGCTTTCGTCACAACGACACCAAACCGTTCGACTCTCGGAGTCACTTCCGAGCAGTGAAGTCTTTCCACTGGTGCGCCAGCGCCTCACGACTCAATCAAACGCTGAGGAAAGTGGTAAGGAAGGACGAAGGGAAGGAGCCGAGAATTCGTGCGAGCCACGATAATGTAACTCGGAAGACCGCCTCCCGTTACGAGACCTGTTCCCCCGGGAGTCGGTCCCCGGGCCCCGGGGCCTCCGAGCGAGGCGTCGGCTCTGCGACGCGAGCGCCACCTCCGCCCCCACCAGCTCCAGCCGAACTTAGCGGGTCATTCGGTGCTCTGGGCTTAGTCGGTGCGCGCGAGTCACAGCCGTGGACGCGTCTCGCCTTCCTCCGCCGTAGCGGTCCCCGAAGTCCCTTGTCCAGGAGCGCGACAACATGTGAAGAGAAGAATCGGCCCTCCCCAGCAGGATGCCGAGCCTCAGTCTCGTGGCGCTGCTGATCCTCGGCCTCGCAACCGCAGGTGCGTATACGAGACCGCGACTCCTCCGGGAAGCGGCCTCCCACTGACGCGAGGATACCGGTACCGCGCGCGCCTTTACCCTGGCGCAACGGGACCGATTTACCTGACCCTTATCCTCACACTCCACGATTCTCTAATTTTCACCTATCCTCTTCCCCTCATCCCCACTACTCATCCTCCACCGACGATTGCCCCACCCGCTCTCCTGACACCGTATGTGAATCGGGAGTAAATCGGTGCGTCGGATGATAAATAAAGCGTGATTCATACACCTGGCCGACGTAATATAGCCAGTTGCCGGCTTCGCTGGGCCTGAGCCGTAGGCTGAATCGTGCGTCCCGCTACTCGTGACATGTAATGCAGCTTTCGAAATTCCTTCCGCGCCATTACCATTGCGTTTCTTCTGCCTATGCGAGATTCTTCTTACGCGAATGTTTTCATGGATCTTTGATTGGCGCTTCCGGTTCACTGATTATTTCTTTTCTATGTAGAGCTCCATTCCAACATGTGTTTATCTTATCATTGTTTAACTTCGTATTTAAAAATATAACCAGACTCCTCAATTGTACATCACGTACTCTTCGCTCGATTTCCCTCCACATCAATTTATCGTTTGTTTATTATGCATACAGGCATTGCATAAAATCAATTATTATTTATATCAAGTATCAATATTGAAGATAAACTTTTCATTCATTGACAATTTTATACTCTTATACTCTTACTGTAATTACTTCAAGACAAATAATTTAATTAGCGCCTTGCACTTTTAATAAAATAAACTATTTTTTTTAACTTCATTGCAATTATATGTTTGGGTTCCAAGTGTAGTAAAAATAACTCGTGCTATTGTTTATATGAAATTTTGCAAATAGTTCTTCAATTCACAAACGATGCTGACTTGGTTGTAATTTTCCTTTTTTTTTTATCTTACTATTCAAAATAAATAGCAAACATATTATTAGTTCAAATGCATAATTTTTGCAAATATATTTTTCCTACTAAATTATCAGTGTGTAGAAATGGTATGTTTATATATGTATTAAATATTTTTACAACGCTTTTTTTTTCAAAAGACCAATATATTTGACTTTACAAATACGTAACGTGTATGTAAAAAAAATAATAATAATAATAAAATAAAATTTTCTGTTAAAAATTGTTAATTCCATTACGCTACCAATGAATTTTCTTATTTTCAAATGTACCTATACTACTTTATTAAGTGACAAAGATAATTTACTTCCAACGTACACGTTATCTCGATTATATATCGCAGTGGTTGGCCAATTATACTGAATTCCGGTAAACAATTCGATCGAAATTGACCCTTTTTTATTCAATCTTGCTTATAAAAATATATAATCGTTGATAAAATGATAGATTATTTACTATATCGTAGAAATAAATTCCTGTTTTTTTTCTTCTTCTAATAATATTTAAAACCAAAATCAATACTAATAAAAATATTTTTGAATAATCGATAAAACTTATATTTTACTGATTTAATATGCGCTGTATAAATAAAAAAAAAAATAAAATAAAAAAAAACCCCTTTAAAGAGCAAAGTATTCAATTTTCTCATATACCTGATTAATAATAATATTTCGAAAAATAAACGTCAATATAAAATGCATTGTATAGAAATATTAATTGAGATAAGAATTTTATGTTTCCATTTAAAATTCTATGAGATTTGTATGTTTAAATTATCTTAATATGTGCGGTAAAACTCATGTCAATTCTTTACTTTCCAGCAACTTTTAATAGTATATTAACAAGAAAGAAATAATCAAATAGTTCTTATGAACACTCTAATAGACAATCATATAGTTACTACGGCATGATTTAAAAAATAATTGTTGTTGTTTAATCGTCCATCAATACAGCTTCATTTAAAATAATCTTTTGTGGGCTATTGGTCTACCGATAAACTAAATATCATAAACTAAATGAATCGCTTTATATTAGCCTTAATAGAGCCGATTTAAAAAATTATCTCATTAAAACATCAAATTTACATTTCTTTAGTGCAATGCAATCAATCAAATTATATAAAATATATAAAGTATATAAAATAAACGGATTGTAATACAAAAAAATATTTTGTGCTAACATTTTTATATAAATATTTTTTATACTTCACCTTGAAAGTGCAGCGGCATATCCCTTGGCACAAATTACGCACATCTCAGTTCAATTTCGCATTTTTTATGTTTTGCTTTATGTAAACAAAAAGGAACCGAGGCAAATGAGCTTTTTAAAGCCTTATATCGCGACTATTTATTTTACAAACTTCTAACTTATGCGCGATATTCAATTACTTTGAATAATAATCCATGTAAGAGATTTTAAAGTTTCTTCTTATTTAATTCTTATAAAATATTATTAATAAATGTTTAACGTTTCCACATCGGGTAATAATAAAGTATTGTTGACAAATGAGTTTACATAGTCCTACATATGTTGATATAGGCAATTGGTGACAAGTCAAGATAATTAAAAGAGTACTATTGCTGATAGCTTTATCAAACGAAGCTACAAAAATAAATAGAGGATAGTTAAATCTTTTGATACATTCAGGAAGAATAACGAGAGATAACAAGCGATAAAGCGGAATTCATATTATCAGAGAACCGCCTTATATTTCCAGCATCACTCACTTGTATTTCGGAGGAGTGGACATTTTGGTCATTATGTATAACTCGTATGGGCAGACAACGCACGAGATACGTAGATAAGAAAAATTTTGGTACTCACATTAAGGATAAACGATGGTATTTGCTAAACGCCGTTTCCGTAGACGACTTGGGCGCATCGCAGTATTTATCTACTACCAAACATCTGTTGGCTTTGACCCTTTTCCCCGTTAAACAAACACGTTATTGCGATAATGCCGACGAGTCCGACAGTCTCGGAACACTTGATACATCTTCCATTATATTCTTTACCAATCGTGATGTTAATCTTTCTTTAAACATTTTTTGAAAATCACTAATGCTGTTGTATTATGCAAAATGAAGAGTTGTCAAGAACTTCTAGACTTAAGCTTCTCAATCTTTGCGATGATGCCAGGGAGATTTTTGAATTAAAGGGACATCTCCTGTTTAAATGTACCCTGATTCACAAATAAAAGCTAAATAGACTTGTAACATTTGAAATACTTAAGTTCAATTAAATTAGTTGGTTCGACGAGTCGTGAGATGCAAAGCTTTTATGATTTGATATCTCCATTACACACGTTTTAACATACTAATGTTATAGCTATTTTTTTATTTTTATCTAAATCTAAATTTAAATAGTTTTTCAAAAATGTAGTTTCTAATTTATTTTCTAGCAACGATTATGTAAACAAGAAACATTCGTTTTTCTTATCTTACTCATGCTCGCACAGCTAACGCATTGACTACCTTATGAAAAAAAGTATGCAAGAAATGGAAATAAGGCTTGTATAAATATGCTTTTACTTAAATTTAATAGAATAATATGAAGCGAATAAAATATTAAAAATAATATTTAAGTACTCGATACAAATATTCATAGAATTACCAATATTTTTTACACTTACAATAAAAAAAGCGACATATTTTCTTTATTGTAATTCAAATCATATTATTTAGTATGTAGTCGAAATTGTTCGAGTTTCGTTAAAAATTTCAATTTTGAAATTCTGAATTTGGTAGGCTAAAACTAAACATTTGTACTGATTTAAGTAACATGCAATTATGGCTTTTGTACTCATCAAAATATATTATTTAATACTATTTGCGAATAAATATTGACTTACACTATGTTTCTCTCTCTCTCTCTCTCTCTCTCTCTCTCTCTCTGTCTCTCTCTCTCTCTCTCTACATGAATTACAATATAAATTATACACTTGTCAAAGGATTAATAAATTATTATGGCAGTAAATAATTAAAGACAAATCTTTTTTTTCTCTTATTTATAGTACGTAATTGCAAAAGTTACACCTGCACAGAGAACTTAATTTTCTAACGTTTTCACTTCTTCCATATTCATGTATCCATTGCAATTATCCAGTTAATATGATAATGAAGAAGTACTGTCACGAAACGAAAGAAATGACTTCCTTTCTAAGCAGCATTTATATAATAGAACTCATACTAGTCAAACTTAAGACCCTTAACTTTCCTATGTGTACATCCACGTTAGTAAGCACCATAAAACACCCATAAAATATTAAATTAAATCTTTTAATTGCAAATCATCATCTTCTTTATAATTCTTTCTTAATGTCTATAATATAATAATATTGAATAAATAAACTCCATTTCAAAACATTTATTAATTTTTTACACAATTTAATATTAGATCTTTATCTATTATCGCTGAAATTAACTATTATACTAATTAAACTTAATTATTACCGATAAAACAAAAACAAAAACAAAAACAAAACAAATATATATATATATATAATTAAAAGGACAATTTAAATAGTATTAGTGACTAACTACACGGTGAAAAATTTTTATAGGTTGCCAAGGATACAAGCCACTTATACATCCTGATGTACCCCAGTTGATAATAAATGAAGGAGAAGAATTAAAAATAACATGTACGAGTATCGATGACATTAATATTTTTTATCCCGAGGATGACGAAATTGCTAATGTAATACATTTTATTTTATTATAAATTTTATAATGAGATATTACATTTACTTATTGTATTGAAATTTTTATTTTTATATAAACGAATTATATACACTCTACTTATATCTCAAAATAAAATTTAATATTTCTTGTACTATATATTTTTAGTCGAGTTTGTCTAGTAATCATAAATAAAATCTAATAACTAATTTATATCAAAAGCATTAATAAAATAAATATTTCAAATTCATTATAATAAATAATATATTTCTAATACATTCTTTGTAATTGCAATAATTACAAAGAACAATATTATACAAAATAATGCGTGTATCTTTAAAAAAAAAATTACATTATAAAGATTTAATAATAATATTTGATTATAAAATGTTAAAATGCTTAATAATTGTGAAATTTTTTTTTTTCTGATTCTAATGGTTAATTATGACAAACTAGAATAATAAAGCTTTGATTAATATTTTATATTCAATTATGATATTTAATCATTTTGGTAATTGTAAGTAAAAATCATTTCTTCTCTACATCATTAATAATTATTTAAGTTTGCGTTGATGAAATAATTAAATTATTTGAGAACTGTGAGAATGTAATAAGAAATTTTTCATATTTTTATTACGATATCGAATCTAAAGATTTCAACATCCGAGCACGAAATATCTCCGGAAGATCAAATTGGTAACAGTGTAAAGCTAAAATTTCGGCGTCGTAAAACGGTTTTTGGTGACACTGGATGGTACGGTTGTGCAAATACAAAAGCACATATTACAAATAAAGATTATAATGATCCAAATGCCAGTTGGATATACGTTTACATCAAATGTAAGAAAAAAGTCTTATTTACATAAAATAATATTAAGAGCTATTTTAATAATATTAATGAATAAGAATAATTTACTTGCTGCAGCTAATGAAAGTGCATTTGTCCAAGCTGGAGAAATGCATTTTATCGTTGGAGTTGTTGGAGACACGATTACATTGCCATGTCGTCCAACTTCGCCAGAACTACACGTTGATCTCTTATTGAATGATAAAGTAAAGTTTTTATTTCTTGATTTGCCACTAAATTCAATAAGCTAATTCAATTTTATAAAAAGTACTATCATTTCATACTTAGATTGTCGAAATTGACGAAAATCTCTCCTTTGATCCCAAAGTCGGTTTCACGATGAGAAATCTATCCACAAAAGATACTGGTTACTTTATTTGTCAAATAGAACAAGATGAGTATTCGGCACAAATTTTGTTCTTCGTTAAATTAATTCAAAAAGCCACTTTGAAAAGCCCTGTAATATTGCAAGATGGTTTACAGCATGTGACCAAGGGTTCAAGTTTACATGTTAAATGTACGGTTAATATTGGAACGGATAATAATTACATTTTTTACTGGACAACGCCTCGAAATTCGGTAAATTATCATTACTTAATGGCATAATTATTTTATCACTTACCTATTTTCAACGAATGCAATTATTGTATAAAATAAATGAAACATTTTTAGACGTCTAGAAAAATTTTACCACCGGTGAGAAAATTAATAGAAGCTAATACTCTGTTGGTAACTTCTGAGCTTGTTGAAGATGATGTGACATATGACGACGAGGGTGAATACGTTTGCCAAGTAAAATCATTAACAGACGTAAAAAATACGAGTATTTACATTCATATCTATGGTAAGTTTAACGTAATCATAATAAATAGTCAATGGACTAGTTTATATTGGCAATTATAAAAATAAAAGTGATATAATTTAATTACAGATCCTAGCGTTAAATATATTAATTTGACATCTCACGATGACAACAGACACTACGTGATAAATGCTTTTAAACCGGTAATATTTTCTGCTTATGTTAATGGATATCCAACACCAACACTTACATGGTAATTAATAATTTATATAATAATGTATCGATTGTTATTTCATTTATTCACTTTTTTATACTTAAATTCAAGAGAATGTAAAAAAAAAAAAAAAAATTAATTTTTAAAGGTTAAACCCACAGGGAGATGTTATCGATACATCTAATAGAATTACCATTGAAAGCACTAATTCATCGATTACTTTAAAAATTAAAAGTGTTCAAATTGAGGACATGGGTACTTATATTCTCCAAGCGGTCAATGATGCAAAAATAGAACATTTAAACTTTACTTTGGAAGTTCTAGGTATTTGTTTGTCAACGATATAAAATATTATTTAATTTTTTCGTTCAATTTCCTAACAATATTATGTTCTAGCCAAGCCCTGGGCGATGCTAGGTCCTGTTAAATCCTATTACGGATTAAATGAAAGAGCAATATTTTTTTGCAAAATCGTTGGTAATCCAATATCAAACATATCATGGTTCTATTCAAAATGTCCAAATTTACCATTTATTGGCGATTGTCAAACAGTAGAACTCAAAGTTAGTCTAAAAAATTAACTTATTTATTTATTAAATTCTCTGTGTACGTTTTGTCTACAATTTCGACTGAAAATGTTATATTATTTCTTATTTGTATTTAATATAAGTACAATTTGTTGTTACTTATACGTTTTTTAGCATAATCAAATAACGTAATAATTTAAATTATTTAAAAAAAAAAAAATGTTATTCTTATTGACATCGATATAAGAATGATCAAATTATTATATATAAATATACGTATAAATTTATCATGTTTTCGTAAATGTAATTAAGAATACTTTGTTTTAAGGACTTTATTATGTTAGATCAAACTTCCATGAGTGTAGAATCGAATGTTGAAATAACCATAGAAATGTCCGGTAGAATCAATTGCACAGCGTGTAATAAATTTGGATGTGACTCGGTGGAACAAGATATTCTAGTCTCAGGCAAGTATCGATGTTACTTTATATAATTACGAACGAACTCTTACCTAAACTGTAGTAACTATAAAACATAGTATACAAGTTTTTAGTTAAAAAAAAAAAAATAATAAAATATTATACCAATATTTTTAAAAATGAAGTCGTTTATAAGCTTGTAAAATTATACAAGATTTTCAGCGTCTTAAGTAATTTATAATATTAAATATTATAAAAAATTAATCTTTAAAACTAATTAAAGGAGAAGTATAAAAAGAACTTTCTATAAATATATATATATATTAATTACAAATTTATCATAAAATATTAGATATTGTTAATATTCATTGTTAATATCAAGATTATTCAAATAAGTTAACAGATATATCTCCTTTACTTAAACTTTAAACTGACAAAAGCTTTCGGTATTGTATTTTTTAATATCGATAATTTTAAATCTGATGTAAGGACTGTCAAATTTAGAATTAGTTATTAAAAATAAAACTTGGAATAATTATTAGAACCAAACTTTGTTTTATTGTTAGACAAACGAACAGTAATACTTAATAAAAGTTTCTTGTAACATAAAATATTCAAACACATAGATGGAGTAACCGATGCAGCATTTGGAATTATAGAACCAGATGAAAAATTAACTGTAGGAGATGATGTTGTTATAGTATGCGCAGCTTCCGTTTATAATTTTTCAAACGTCGAATGGTTGAATAAACATCAAGAACCATTGCAAAATTCAGGTTCATAAAACAACTATTTTGTATTTATAAATATTATTTTAATAATACTTTAATTATTATTCTTTAAAAATTCAGAAAGAATGCAAGTCACGTTTGAGGAAACGGATTTCACTCATCGAACCATTCTTACGATTAAAAATCTACAAAAATCAGATGAAACAGAGTATTATTGTAAAGCGTTAACTCCGGATAATCTTCCAGATAGAATTCGTTTCGAATTTATTATTAATGGTAATATGTACTTCGATAAATTCATTATAACGATTATATTTGAATTATTTCCTTCATTTTATCGCACTCTTATGAATTTCGTTAAATTATAAATTATTCTAACCATAATAATAAAATTATTAACAAAAATAATCGTATGTAATTTACTGAATTTTTAATATTAAATAGCCCTACTTATTGTTTTAACCTGATTATTTGTAGATCCCGAAACTCCTTATTTTACTAATGTCAATATGAATGGAACCGAAGTTATCATTTCAGCGCGAGAATCTCACAATACTATCAACTTGATTTGCCATGCCCAGGGAATGCCAAAACCGACAATAACTTGGTACAAGGTAAGAAAAAAAAAATGACTTCCACCAACTTATGTGGTAATGTCAAATATTTTTTGTAGAATGACAAATTGTTAGAAGAGAATGAACAACAATTCATTTTTACATCCGACAATCAGGAATTAATGATTAAATACTTAATGGAAAAGGATAGCGGGAAATATACATGTGTCGTGAAAAATCGTTATGGAGAGATACAACAGTTTCAAAAGTTTCTAGTCAAAGGTATCGAGTCAATGTCCAAAATGAAATCTTAGCCTTCATTAAGCATAATAAAAATATTTTATATTGAAAGCGTACTTTCTCTATAATTTTAGGAGCCGAAGTTTCGATGATTTGGATTATAACAATTGTGGTTCTTGTGATCATTCTCATTACTCTATTAATTTATTTCTGTATAAAAATACGACGTGAAAAGGTAAAATAAAGGATTAGCATTCGGTTTAAAAATTAATAATTTGGCGCTTCATCTATTTGCTCTTTTAGAAAATGAGGAAACAGTTAATAGAAGCTGGTTTGATGCATTTTGAAGAAGGGGCGCTCGATTGTATAAATCCGGAATTGACTGTGGACGACCAAGCAGAGCTTCTCCCGTACGATAGAAAATGGGAATTTCCAAGAGAAAAATTAAAATTAGGTATAGAGTATAAATAAATTTGTATTTATACAGTTTTAAAAATAATAAAAAAAAAAAAAAATAGTAAAAATAGTACTTGCGAATTATGAATTGTTAAACACATTGATCATCGACTATTGATCAGTAATTGATACCATCGATATTACCGAAATATTGCAATTGTTGATAATAATTTGTTCATCGTGTAGGCAAACAGCTGGGAAGTGGTGCTTTTGGTGTTGTCATGAAAGCCGAAGCGCGTGGAATACGCGCGGATGAATCGTTAACTACGGTAGCCGTGAAGATGGTCCGAAGAAACGAGGAACCAGCTTATATTCGTGCTTTAGCCAGTGAATTAAAAATTATGGTGCACCTTGGCAAGCATTTAAATGTCGTTAATCTTCTTGGTGCTTGTACTAATAATATTGCAAAAAGTGAGTAATGATTAATATCGATGCCTCGTTTAAGTAATGAGCTGTAAAAACAAGTCTGCTTTGAAATTTTTTCAGGAGAATTATTGGTGATCGTTGAATACTGCCGATATGGAAATTTACATAATTATCTTTTACGCCACAGGGAAGATTTTATTAATCAAATCGATCCGTATACCGGAAAAATTGATCCTTCAATTGGCAAAGAGCTGCTATTGCGGTCAACTAGCATAGGCAGTCACAATAGGTTCGACTTTTTTTATTTCTTTATTATAACGAAGAACAATTTAATGTCTATTTACAAACTAACGAAATAATCGATTGTCTTAATATTAAAATTCTTATTTGTGATTAACAGGGCTGCTTATTACTCACTACTATTAGACATTCAATTTGCAATATATATATATATATATATATATATATTGTAATATAACTTAATAATTTAATAAGTAATAAGGAATTTTATACACAATAAAAAAAATGTAGAATAATCGTAAATAATAAATTAATTTAGAAATAATTGTACAATTGTATAAGAAAAGTGTGCTTAAATCGATAATTTTCCATCTTATACGAAATTAATCTAATACATAACTCATGAAATGTTATTATTTATTAACACCCGCAACACATATTCAATTGATAAAATATGATCACTTATTTTCAGTTGTTTTTCAATGTATTTTTTAATATATGCCTCGTCTCATCGAACCATAATGAATTTGTACAACAAACATGCCAAATTAATGAAATTAATATTGATATTTTCTGAATGAAGGATAAACATTTCGCAGAATATATTTACATAAAATAATAATTCATTCGAAAATTGTTCATTCGTGATCTCTGAGGCTCTTTGCTTGATAATAATGTCAAAATAAAACCGCAACAGATGCTGCAACAGCAACAACAACAACAATAATAATAATAATAATAATCCAGGCTGAAGGACGTGCATGGTGGTGCCCGCTGCTAACAGTTTGCCTTTTGTTTTTTCTTCTGCATTTAACAGGGTAAAATACGCGGCATTGTCATTTTCCCGTAGTCTTAGCGTCACCTCGGGTAACAGTGCATCCGGGACCGAGACCGTCATCTACTGCACCGACACCCAGGATATCACAGGCCTGCCGGACACTGAGTGCATCAATAGCAACGGCTCCCAGCCAGGTTGGCGATCCAATTATCGAGGCGATTACAAGGACAGAAATCTGAAGCCCACTTGCACCCAAGATCTCCTCTCCTGGGCGTTCCAAGTCGCTCGCGGCATGGAATATCTTTGCCAGAGAAAGGTTACTTATACGTTCATATTGTTTGATTCTTTACGAACAGCAGATCTCTTAATTGAATTTCATTCTTAAGTGGCAAATAAAAGAAGCTTTTACTGATAAAAAGTCTAAGTATTAAATAATTATGTATAATAGAATCGCAGCAGTTTTCTAATTATGTAATAGCCACTGCTGTTTATTGTTTTGCAATGCTAGCCAACGGTTATTCACGGTTTTCATTCATCAGGTACTTCATGGTGACTTGGCCGCACGAAACATTCTACTGGCAGAAAATAATGTGGTAAAGATTTGTGACTTCGGCCTCGCGAAAACCATGTATAAAGATGACAATTATAAGAAAAAGGGTAACGGCCCGGTGCCAATCAAGTGGATGGCCATTGAATCCATCAGGGATCGAGTTTTTTCAACCCAATCCGATATCTGGTCTTTTGGTATTGTTTTATGGGAATTTTTCACTCTCGCGGAAACTCCTTATCCTGGTATGCAAGCTGAGAAACAATACCAAAAGCTCATCGAAGGCTACCGAATGGAACAACCCAAATACGCTACTAAGGACATGTAAATATGAAAAAATTAATTGTCTTAGATTACAAAGGTCTTATTAATTCGTTGTTCTATTACAGATATAATATTATGCTTCAATGCTGGAAAGCTAAGCCAACCTTAAGGCCATTATTTACGGAATTAGTCGAAAGCATAGGCGAACTTTTGGAAGAAGGCGTAAAAATGGTAATTAAAAATCTATTATAATGCGCTTTCGTAATCTATTTTAATATTATAAAAGTTTTCTTATATTTCCTTCGCAATTACATCGATGTAAAAATTTTCACGGAATTCCACCACTCTCCTAATGGCTAATCTCAATTAATCTGTTCAATCCAGCACTACGTAGAGCTGAATGCCCCGTACATTGACATGAACACCATAGGGCAGGAAGGTAAAAGCGACTATTTGACAATGATGTCATCCCCGGACCATTCGACACTAGCCTCCTCTCAACATGAATACGTTAACAATCCAACATTACCCACGGATTCAGCTTATTTAAGCATGAACAGTGGCAGTCCTTTAGACGAGTCTGGAATATTCAGTCCCCGGCCAAACTCCTTGCAAGGCAATTCACGCTTCGAGTTCCCGAGCTCACCCTCCCCAAGTCTCGGTAAATATATTGTCTTACGTAAACGAGTTTTCGAGAACAATTTATTCAATTTAATTGATTTGACTTTAGATTAATTTTTCTCTTAGCTTTTTATTTCGTGCCCCACCCCTTCCCATTAGCCTGCCATTGCGTTTACTATAAATTCGATGATTTTGTTTGCTCGACCGCATTAAATGAATTGCTATTTTTCTTTTCTTTTCTACTTTTACTGCAATTGTCTAGCTAATGCAGCACACTCCGATGGCGAGGATGCCCCTATGCTTAAAAAGACCAAGGAAGAATCGGATCAGGACGATGACAACTATCTGAAGCCTATCGATGTGCACAAGAAGCGTGAGGAGTTTGTGAGGAAACGCGAGACTGAAAAGAAAAAGGAGAAAGAGCGAAGCTGCAAAACGTTAACTGACAGAGATTCGGGATATTGTAATACTCCTAAAGGCTTGGAGTTGGTAGATATACGTGTCGCAGCTTCTGAAAATAAAGATCCGAATTGGACAGACGTGGTCGACGTTGATGAATCTTCCATGATTATTAGGACGCAGGATAATTATGTGAATATACCGAAACAAAAACCTGATTTACGTAAGGACGGGCCGGACAGTTTTATGAATCCTAGTTATATTTTCGTTAAGGCCACTAAATCTGATCAAGAGATACTTTAAACGTGTATAGATTGAAAGTGTTGTTCTTGAAGTTTATCTTTCAAGGTATTTATGTGCGTGTGCTACAGTGATAACGTAACTAATCAGTAAGTTACGTACGTGACAAAAATTTGTATTTAAACAAGTTTAGGTAAATAGGCATTACGCTACTATTGTATAAATTTTTATATTTGTTTCATACTACGAATGATATCAACGTAAAGCTATCTAAACTAAATAAACTTACAATTGATAAGAATAAATTTTAATACATATTTTAATACATAAAAAAAAATTAACGGCAATCCTATAAATAGAAAGTCAGATAAAATTTTATTAAAATTATACAAATATTACCAATTTTTTATAATTAAGTATCAATTTTTTTTTTTCATGACACCTAATCTAATAAAAATTACTAATAATTTAGAATTTAAAAATTACTGTAACAAAATTCCTTCTGTTACGAACTATCACAACTACACAGATACGAATTTAATTCCATGAATAATTGGATGCAACGAAGAAAATGTGTCAATGTTAAATTGATTTCCAATTTATTCAATTAATAAAATTGCGTTAATTTAAAACTCATGCACACATGCGCACACAGACACACGTGTTTGAGTTTGCGCATGATGTTAGCGTATGTGTTTGTAATAATATTGTACTTAAAAATAAATACAAACGATCAATATTTAAATTCTGTAACATTAAAGCAAAAAAGAAAAAAAAAGGGAAAATACAGTAAATAGCAAGTATAATACTCATATAAAAAGCTATTATTTTAATTTAGCTTAAATTATTATTATATCGATGATTAATAAAACCTTTTTTGTAAAATTTATGAAAAATTTAGTTGTAAATTACTTTTATACGTCATCTTTATGACAAAAAAGTGTAAACACGCAAAGTTTTTATCAATGCATTTTTAATATTGTTTTTATTTTTACATAAACGACTTACATATAATTTAAGTGGCTTTTATGTAAAACGTTTCTTCTTAATGTGCATTTTATAATACATAATATTTTGTAAGATAACAAAAAATTTTACAAATAAAATATTTGTACCATCTTTGGAATAATATTGTTTATTATTTGTGCGAAAAAAACCATATATTTAGTTTAAAAGAAATTTAATACCTTTTTAATTAATCACTAAGAATATCTTCGTGAATTCTAATGGAATAAGGTACGTGATATGTTTTCGTATCATTTCGCAATTTTTTACTTCTACCAATAATTTCATTGGTATAATCCCTTCTATATTTAGCCCACCTTAAATATTACAGTATATTGTAATTAAAAATATAATTTAATTTTCGTCATTATAATTGTATTATACTTACATTCGATTTTTTATATATATATCAAGCAACTGTTTATTATTTGGTAATTTATCGTTCAAAAAATTCTTTACTCTTGTCCAAATATTAGCCCGATTATGTTTTAAAAGCCAATAAAGTGGAATCATTAAACAAGTTATAGGTGACAGCGAAACCACATGACGATTTTTCATGTTCTCGCCTACAAAGATACATTATAATCATTAATCCTACACATATATTGATTCACAATAATTAATTTAAAAGAAAAAAAAATTACCCAAACCAAAACATGCGCCTCTGTTAAACAAACAAATTTGCATGAATACTGTCGATACATTTTTAGATTTTGGATTTAAAAATCTTATGCATGGTTCGATCCTCAACATCTCAACAACATCAGTAATTTTATGCCATTCATTTATCTGATAATAATTAAAAAAATTACATTATAATTTTATATTTTTAACTTTATTTGAATTGATGCACTCGTTAACTCACCACATCCTGTAGCGTTACAGTAATAACACTAGTACGATCCATTACAACAGTAGGTTTATCCTTCTTTGACGATATTAATTCAATAAACTTCTCAGGATCCATATTTATCCCGTTATTTTCAGTCTACATAAGAATAATATAATTACGTACAGTTATAATAATATATGTGAAAATTTTCAAAAATATACAATATTCTTTATCAAACCATATAATAAAGTATTGAAAAGTATTGTGTTTACTGAAAAACATCTTTTATAGATATTAAATCTTAATATATATAACTTAAAAATTATAACTAAATATAATAATATAGTTTTCAAAGATATTAATTCTATATCATAATATTTGAAAATTAAACTAATTTTTATGACAGTATTGTATGCTTTGTAGCATTAAATGATATAATAAAATAAAATAGCGAATGAAGAATGAAAAACTATTGTAGAAGATTAGAGAAATTAATAATTAAAATTTTTATGGAGAGACGTTGATATTTAAATACTAGCGGTCTCAATGCAGGATTCCTATGAATTTAGAAAATAGTGCTTTCTTAACTTTTATTCTAATGTTACATAATTATACGTATTTTAATACTAAATTGTTAAAAATGTAGTCTACTAATTTTTGTTTTCATTTTTTCTCCACTCATTGACATGTTTAATATACAAGAAATAGTAAATACTATTAATTGAAAATAAGATCTACAAAATACATTACTGAAGAATTGGTATCGCGTATAAGCGTTGATAAATTGTCTGTAAGAAATTCGAACTTCTTAGATCTTGAGGTTCGTTGGCGAGGATTTATATCCGCCAGTTTATAATCATAAAGCTTATATTTTGTTTTCTTGCCAACTTGATTTCTTTCGATCAGCATATGCTCTATAAGCTCACATTCTCCAGATAGAATGAAATAAACATAATGAACCATTCCTTTGCCATCCCCTACTAAAATCTTCAAGAAACATAAATAAGATTATAATTGATAAGAAAAATTGAATAAAAATATGATAGAAATAAAATTATATTTGAAGAAAAAAAAAGTTATGTTAAATAAGTATATTTACTTCATTCTCTTTGAAGGTATGGACTTTGCTGACGATATAACATTCTCGCATCGTTTCTTCAGTCCAGCCTTTGAAATAATTAAAATTTATTAAAGCATCTCGTAATACATCCCATTCTTCCATTAGCATACTTTTCAAATATGCGTTAAATGTACTTTTCGTAACTAATAATAAATCAGTTGGATCTGCAATATTAATAAGCAGTAAATAGATAACAGACGATTTATGTAAAAAAAGAATGAAAAATGAAATTTTCCTTTAAATTAAATTAAATTATTAATACCTTTGCTCACTACAGTAGCCGTTCGAGGAACTTTATGTAAGAGAGATATTAGACCAAACATATCTCCAGATTTTAATGTTCCTATATCGAGTTCTTTCTTTTCTCCTATAAACAAAATGATTTAAAAATAAACTTATTAGAAAACTTATAAGCAGTTTCTATTTGAATACATGTATATGGTGAAAATAATCGAATAATTGTGATTGAGAGCGGTATCAGGATTTTGAAAATTTAAAAATTTAAATGAAAATACAAAAACGATCTGATATTATTAGTTTACATAATAATGTATTTAATAGAAATTTATTACGATATATAATTAAATTACATATCAAATACAATTGTTGATAAATAAATTATAAATTATTATAAATTATATTATAAATTATATTATAATATTATAAATTATAATAATCTATTTAAAAAATAAATATGTAATATAATTAATAAAACGGTTTCTTGTTATGTATAATGAAAAAAAAAAATATATATATATATATATATATGTATATTTTCTATTTAAAATATAGCTGTTTAAAATATATTATTTTCCTAATATTCTCAATAATCTATTACCTGTGTGTTCATCGGATACTGTTTTTAACATTTGAAGCTGTCCTTTAATAATATAATATTGTACAAATGGTTTATGATCTTGTCGAATAATAGTTCTTCCTGCAGGAACAAATTGATAAATAATGGCTCCAGCTAAAGACTCTTGAATATCTTTACTGTATTTTTTAAATGCACCTATTTTCTTCATAAAAGATTGTATATACATAATCTCATCTCTGGTTCTTTTACCTGGTGGAATTAAAAGAATTCTCCGATCCTGCAGCAATTAGAAAGAAAATTAAATATTGTAATTTCTACAATGATAAACAACAGCTTACTTACTTTCACTGAAATTATTTCTTCAGGTAAACTATGTCGTCTTTTAATATTTTTATCAACACTACTCCGTTCTGGAAAAATATTATAAATCCAATCTTTATATTCCATAACAAGCCTGACAATAGCTCGAAACACAGATCTTGGACTTAATCTCCCAACCTTAAAATTTCAGTGAACATACATGTTTTTATTACCTTTTTAAAGCAACTATATATTGTCTATTTGAATAAAGGGTCGATTGTTACAAATATCATATTTATACGTTCATATATGTTATTCCTACTATGTACTATCAAATTATTAAAAATAAAATACTTGCTTAATTCTAGAATATGAAGAAATAAACACAAATAATTATAATAGCATATAATAAATAAATAAGTAAATAAATAAAATTGTTTTAAACATACTTACAACAGAAATTTTCTTTGACTTTTTTGATCGGTACAACGTTTGTTGCAGCATTTTACCTTGCCTGTTTGACATTTTAATAATTATACAGATAACGTATTTCTTTATAAAACTTTTCAAAAGTATTTTGTAAAAAGAGAACAATAAATTTAAAAGCCAAAATGTTATTAGTACTGAGTCAATTTCGCGTTTCTATGACATGTAATAGTTTTGTTCAAATGCGCATGATTTGTTTTGTCGATTAAATCTCTAAGTATGTATTACTAACATTACAGTTGCGAATAATAATATTTTAATATTTATTTTATAGTAATATTAAATGCAAACAAATCGATTGCCCAAAGTTTATTAAAAACATTGTGAAAGTCTTTGATGTCATTTTTATCAAAGGAGAATTTTTGAAAAGAAAAATTGACCAAATATAGAGTAATTTTTCATTTGAATTAACATTTTATTGAAACTGTAGTGTTTTAAAAAATTCTCAATTAAAAAGAATGAACGTAGATTTGCTTTTCGGAGAATTTCATATTGATTGTCGGTAAAACAGATTGCTAATGACTTGCTTTAAATTATTGTGCATTGTTGAGGAGTGAAAATTGGTCAGTACAACGATTGTCAAACATTGGCTTAACATTATAAATACATATTGTCCCATTGTTTTTGTGCATTCGAACAAAATGGTATGTCCAGCAATATGTTTTATTTTATAAACAACAAAGGCAATGTATTACTGTAAAACATTTTTAACGATTCTTGTAAAATGATTGCCTTTGAGGTTATGTTAAACTTTCAATTATGAATTATTAAAATTTTCTTATATACTTAAAGGGAATCGTAATTATTTATAAAAATCTTAAAAAAAAAAACTAAAAAAAAATACTTAAAATATAATATAATATGAATTTACAGAGTTTCGGATTTTCGGCTTTGAAAAAAAAAGATAAGGATTTTAATGAGCCAATTTCAAGTAATGCACCCTATGGAATTGAGAGTCCATTGGTTGCTGGGTAAGATTAAATATAATTTTTTTGTAATTTCAATTATTAATAAGAGTTATGTTTTTTTTTTCTTTCAAGATTGGGATCTACTAAGAAACAAATAGGTTTTTCTCACCCAATCGAAGCATCGGAGTCTAATGTATATATTTACACATATGTATATATTCATATTATATTCAAAAAACTTATTTAATAAATAAAAGTAATTATAATTTTAGTATGAAAAAAAGAGTCAACGTTTGGAAATGCTTATGCTGAGAAATATACAAGGTTTGCATGCGCCTATGCGTCTAGCAATGGAAATCAAAGCAACGGAGCAAATTGGTAGATTACCATTTTTACCATCTTCCAATATTATGAGAGATGTTATACTTGGACGTGATGAAGATATTGGGTAAATTTTTACCTTTTTTTTTATAATGTACTTTAATCAAAATAATATTCTACATGTATAATGTTTTCAGATTTCAAGATATATTAAATACAACAGAATTCAGAGAACAAATGGGGCAACCTCATGCAGTGGTAGAAAAAAGTTTGGGAATTTTATAAGGTTTGCATTGAAAGTGATAATTAATAAAAAAAAGTTCAATATTCTGTACTTATAAGTTTTTTTAATAAATCTCGTAATTGTTAAATACACAAATTTAATAACAAAATAATTATCTTATATCTACTATTGTACATCAGGCCATACTAAATCATTGATCCTGATTCGACATATCTTTTTCACTTCTTCGATAGCAGTCTTAATTTCTACTTCTTTACTATTCTTTAATCGCGATTCTAATCCTACAAGTATAGATTTAACCTTATTTTCCCTTGCACAAATAATAAATGGAAATCGAAATTTTTCTCTATATCTGTAGAAAAGGGAAATGAGGATTAATTGTAGTAAAGATGGTTAAAAGTTGAATATTTTAGTACTCACAAATAATTATTGTTACTTAATATCTGTTTTTCATCTTTAGTCATTGCATCAAGACCAGCTAATTTTTGTTCATTCAACGATTCAGCAGTGAGTTTTCCTTCCTCTGCTAATTTACCTGCTAAGTCCGGATGTCGTGACAAAACTGATTCTTTCTCTATTATAGAAAATTTATACATATATGTAAATGTATAGATTACACATGTTGTAAATTTCTTATTTACGAATTAATTTTCATTTACCAGTAGTATTCAATTTTTCTAGATAATCATCAAAAGCTTTTTTAAGATCTTTAGAAGTGAAAAATGGTCTTTTAGTGGCTATGATTGATGCAGCTTCAACACAATGTTCTATTACGTTTCCAAATAACCACTCGAAATTTTCAACCGGCAATGCATTGACTTCGTTAATGCTTAAAATTCCTTGTGACGGCATATTAAAAAATTTTCTAAAAAATATACGCTTGTTTATATTTATTAAAAAGTACGCTCGAATATAAATGTGTATATATGTATATATATATATATATATATATGTACTTATTTATTTGTTTATATACTTACGATGTAATATAAAAATAAACGTAAGATTATAAAAGAAATCTATATGATTAAAGACCACTACGATTGATTTATCAATAAATTTTTAATCGAGAATGCTAATTTTTTGTAAAGCTCTGTCTTATCTTAAGCCGTTGTTATATCATCGCAATTGGCTTACACTTATTCTCAAATTATTAAGTTAGCAGATTTATCGAGCCAAGCAAACAAGCCCCAAAAATTCCACTGCACGTATAATTGTTAACATGTATTTGAAGAATAAGTGACACGCGCGATTAGTATATTGATTATCTAATTACATACAATTCTATGCAAAGCTCTGCAAATGAATACACAAATTTCACCTGATAGTAATGCTTAGATGTTACAACCGAAGGAGTCTTTAATAATGAAATAACAGTTTCCACAGGCACACTCGACTTAAAAAATTAACACGATTCTAAAGTCGTGCATAACGACTGCCTCGAAATTTTCGAAGCGAGAAAATTAAGCGGGCGAGCGCGGACGTAAGAGCGCAATGTCGACTTACCGATAAATAAAGAATGGAAGAGCGCGCCGGGCGAGACTCACGTTCGAGGCCAAAGAAGGATTGTTGAGTTATTGCCCCGGAGCCGGGCCTCTGCGAGAATTCCCCGTTCCACCTTTGGCAATTTATTTACGGATTTACGGTGCGTGCCGAGCGTGCCGAGCTTCTTTACAGCTCCTCGAAGCCTACGGACTTTCATGCGACGCTCAACGTCACCGATAATCGCAGTCGATTTCCCAACGATCGAACAGCAAACTACCCTCCCCCGAGTAGCAAAATAATCTGCTACCACCACTTTTCCGATCCCGCGCGCAAAATTGATCCGTGGCGCCGAAGGAGCGTTCGGCTTATCTTCCGCGTCCGCTCTTTTAGCTTACGGTGACGAGCCGACAAGTCGCTGCTGTCCCTCGCTTTTCGCCCTCGGAGATTGCGAGGCCGTATCACGGACCGTTTGCCTCGTTCTCGATAAGCGTGTTTATATATTTTCCTTTAGCCGATAACCAAGCGATTCACCTACAGCGGTCATTCTGAAAATACATCTGACGCGCGTTTTTACGTTCGCATGATATATACGACTCGCCCGTCGCCCGTCATATTCGTGCAAATGTTTCCTTGTTCGTTCACCATGCGATTATTGCTTTCTTCTTCTCATGCTATACTCTTTCCATTGCTGGTATTACTTCTAATCGTAGCATATTTTGATAAGCAATTTCGTCAACTCGATTGCTCTCTCTCCCTCTCTCTCTCTCTCTCTCTCACACACACACTCTCTCTCTCTCTCTCTCTCTCTCTCTCTCTCTCTCTCTCTCTCTCTCTGGCACATTGTGCGAAACTTGAATTATCTATCTTCAACCTATTTATTACTTATTCATTTTGCTCCACTGGCGACAATTTGCAACAGAATCCATTATTTATAATTTATGATTTTATCGAATTAGCTTACGATAATAGATAATCGTACTGATAACCGTTTCACTTTTTCTCCTAAGAAATAGAATTGTTTACTCCACTTGCAAGATTATATTCAAAATCTATCTTAATTATGATCGTAAATATACGAAAGCGACTATAAACGTTAATATGCTTATATATCAAAAATTACTCAATAATAATTCACATAATCATAATTTTGCATTATTTACTATGAGATTATTTATCACAGGATAACGTGAAATAAACATTAAAAACAGTTAGATTAAAAGATTGCCATTGTCTTAAATGTAAACAAAGAGAATGTAATAAAATTGGATATATTTAGACAGTTATTAATAATATAATGTTCTACAAAATAGTATCAATCATTGAAGAATTTAACTTCTTCCTTTTTCATACAAATATTGTTACAACATTATAAACATACAATTATTGCAAAAAAATTTTCTTCTGAATTTTTATGATACTTGGATAATAAAATAAAATTTTAATCCAGTTACATCAAAATTCCGATCTATGTGATTGCAATCAGTACAAATTTAGCGATTTACTTATTGTAATGATAACAAAAATTATTTACGAATAAACCAATATATTAAATGATTTATCTTATATAAAAATAAGAACCCTATCTTAAACAAATATATGCTGTAATAAAATAAATTAAAAATCAAATACAATTTTCAATAAAACATATTTAATAATACATATTTGTTTATACACTTACGATTTGATACAAAAATGAAGGTAAATCCATTGTTATTATTAATATACTATATAATCTATTAATTTACAAGAAATTTATATAGAATATAATATTTAATAAAGATTCATATAATTTTACATTATAATTAATAATGCTTAAATTTTTTAAATAATTAAAAAAAAAAAGTATTTTAAAGCAGCAAACGATTATCCTTCTTGAGTATTTAGAAATATTTCAACGAAATATTTAATTACAATATTTATTAATAAGGAAATCTTCATTATCGACATAAGGTAATTAAGGTGTATTTTATAATAACTTATTCGATCAATTTTACATGGTAGAAAATAGTTATATTGAAATTCAATTGCCATTCTTTAACAATTAATTAATGGTAAATTTATCATTACCTGCTTTATCAGATACTTCTTCGAAACGCGACAAGATGTCACGGCGTCTCGATTCATTAGAGTTCAATATAAAAATATAAATTTATGTCTAAATGGTCATTATTATTATATATCATAATTTTATGCGTCAAATATCAGATAAGCGATTGTTTTAATGTAACAAAATCTCTATTGAACGTTGAAATAATATGAATTTGAAAAAATCATTGAGACAAATAAAAAATTTTACTTTTACTTTATATTATTACTTCTGCATAGCGCATTATGACGATAAAATACTCACCACGTGCAAAAGATCTTTGACATCCGTAAATATATCTTATCAGGTACTGCTTAATAAGTATTATACTAGAAGAAATGCATAAGAAAAAAGGAATCGGCAAAGGAAATCAATCCATTATGTGCATTCTTTGGCGTCGAAAATATTCCAACTCAAGAAGTTACACAATGATACATATACATATTTCTAAATAAACTTAAAGTAATGATATCTCAATTTTGCATAAAATAATGAGAATATTGAGTGATCACGCCATTTGTACATCAACTTATTACAACCATTTATTTTTTATAAATGCACACACACACACACACACACACACACACACACACAGAGATATATATATAGAGAGAGAGAGAGTGAGAGAGAGAACGCACAATAAAATTTGTGTATCGATATATTTATATATATATATATATATATATATATATATATATATATATATATATATATATATATACACCTTTTTTTTTACACACAATATATATACGACTTTCATCTTACAAACATTGAATTTACTGCGGATACAACCAATCAGTCAAAAGGTAAAAAAAATTTTAAATATTCGACGCGGTCCTGCTTAAAGAAATCGTTACTTTCAGCAGACATAATGTCTTTTTTAAGGCTGAAAACAATCAAAACAGGTAAAAGAGTTTCGAAAACCATAATGGAAAGGAAATATAAAGAATAGAAACGAAGACGTTGTAAGCGGTGATCGGTATCGTTATTCTGTGATCTTTTACAACATCTGACATCTACGGTGTTACAGCCGCCTTTGAAATTATCTCATCAAATTTCGGGATAGGCCGCAGCCACTCGCCCAAGATGTTACTGACGCGAACTGACAATAATTCTCTCAATTGGTCATAAATTTGCGATATCTGTAGCGTGCGTATATTTTTTAAGGACATGAGAATAGCCGCGTTAGATCCCTTAGTTTAAGTAATCCACTTGCCACAAGCTAAACACAATATAATATCAATGGGGCGTTGATTATTAAATGAAAAATGATGCTGAATAAGAGCTACGGTTTTCCGAGATATCGAGCAATGAGAATTTATTTTCAAGCAGCGGAAATGTTATTAACGATCTCGTTGACTATTTCTAAAGAACTTTGAATACTATGATTCAAATGAACTTTATAAGGACTCTGAATTCAAGTGTTTACCAAAAATGTCGATATACAAGATTGTAGTTTGTCAAACGAAGTAGAATCAGTGGTATAGGTATAAGTAGGTGGAAAAAGGAAGATGAGTTAACTTTGAAATATTATTATTTGCCAAAACATTCTTATATGTCTCGAGTTTTTAATAATATTTCCCTCATAATTGAAATTAAAATCTGAAACGGCGACGTTGTAAAACGGTGAACAAGCTACTAAAGAAACCAGTTTACTCCACATTGGCCATTACGATTTCATTTTACGAGGAACTGCGTCTACAAAAGTTACAATAAAATATAAGATATATCTCTTAAGTGGCATTAAAATAAATAAATTATATCGTTTTTCTTCAAATGGCATAGATAGAATGCAGAGTTATAAATTATATATTCCGCTCTAAGTTTTAATAGTGTGACTCTTTCGCTTTGATACATTTTGGCCGTAAGAAGGTGAATAAAATTTTGACGACACTCGTATGAAACAACGCGTGACTTTATTATTTTTCACCCTTCAAATAGTCTCAGCATTTAACAATTATATTGTTTATACATCGGTAGTTCTCGAGCGAGTCGAGTGATGCACTTGGAATTTCGACGTCAGTCACTGCTAAAAAACGAGGTTTCAGAGCGAAGACTTCCTTGGCGCAATAAAATCTGGCAGTAATAATAAAAAAAGAAAACGTAGTAGAAATAGAATAAAGTGCCGAAGAAAGAATCGACTACCACCGCTCGATGCTAAACAAAAGTGCATCTCGCCACACAAAAACGATGGTAAGGGGCGAAGGATGAATTGGTTTAGGTGACGGGAGGGTGGGGGTAGTAAGGGCGGTGTGATGGGGGGGGGGGGGGGGGGGGGGGCGAGATGGAGCCGAGGTGAGACCGACCTTCATTTCCCTTTGGAAAAAAGACTCGCGTTCGATAAAGAAAAAGTGGCTTTGCTTCTTTACGAGCCGAGTCAAAGCGATTGGTCACATCGGGTCCGTGTTTGCGTACACGGCGTGGCTGCTCGCCATTTTTACGGCTCGAAAAATCCTTTTCTCCGACGGCGCGACGCCGCGCGTGTGGGTTACTCGAACAGAGGAGCCGAGAACGGATACGTCCCGAGCAGCCGCCAATGAACGTCACCGGAACCAGGAGACTCGCACGGCGAAACCTGCCGAGCCGCCCGTCAAAAGGCCGCTCCAAAGGGGAGCCCGAAAAAGCTCCATCCTCCGACATTCTCCTACCCCCCCCCCTCTCGCCCCTCTATCCCACACGATAGAATACGGGTGGTTGAGCAGACCGGAGCCGGTTTTATTACACGGTTTTCATCCGCAGATTAGCCCCTTTGGAGGCATCGATATGTGCCGGGCCGATCGCCAAGACCGCCGGACTTTACAGCACCCCATCGCAATAAAAGCCTCCGGTGTGTTTTCGGGACCCCGGGCCCTCGAGGTGCGCGTCGTAGATGCTCTCCGAGCGTGACCATTCGAGGATGAGGAACAGCGAGTCGACAAAAAGCGCGGCCCAGAATTCGAATGCCCTCGGTTGTTTTGCATGGGGAAGACGAGCGAGCGACCAGGGGAATGGCGAACTAGCAATAGTAGCAGTAGTAGTAGTAGTAGTAGTAGCAGTAGTAGTAGTAGTAGGTTCACGATTCCCAGTCGTTGATTCACCCGTATTTGTGTCATCTTCCACCTCCCGATGCGTCGGTCCACTAGATTTATTCTTCCCATTGCCTTGGATATTGCCATGCGGATCCTGCCCTTTCCACTCTCTATGTCTTCATGACGGTGCGATATACTTTCCATGTATTATTTATTCTGCCTGTGAAATAATTCATAGCAAAAGCTTCTGCTTAAAATATAGTAAATTTTATGCATCGCTGTAGTATTAAGACGATTGTGCATAATATTTGAAACAAAGTTTCAGTAACGGACTCTGTCACCTCTAATACTTTGTCATTTAAACGCAATGAATAATAAATACTTCATTGTTCTTCATAGAATAACGGAGAAATTATCGACAAAGGTCAGCTTGCAATG